GAGGCAGCCGCTGGGCAGACAGGGATCCCCAGGAATATTCCTAACATTGGGCGTGAGAGGCGAGGCGGCCGCTGGAGGCGCCCGGGGAGGAGGCCCTTGTGCTGAGCGGAGCGGTGCGTGTCGCAGCTGTGAGGTTACCTCCTGTGTGAGCCCCTCTCGTGTCCCGTCAGTGAGAGGCCACGGGGCTGGGACCACYTCAACTGATCCCCTTTCTGACCGGCGCTAGAAATAGGAGTGTCTCTAAAGTCTTCCGAAGAACAGTCGAGTTCTGCATTTTGTGCAAACCCAGGAAGAAGGTCTATGTTTACAGATAGTTTTATGAAATATTTTAGATAGGGATCTAACACTTGCAAGATGGTGCGGTAAAGGCATTTTATTTAAGAATTTAATGCGTTATAAATTAAATTTGCATTGCTTTTTATGCGTTTCTCAGTTCCCTTACTGAYTTTATGCAGTAGAGTGCATCAGAGAGAATGAAGAACTGAGCTCTTGTTTCACATGTGTTTCAGGCTTCTCAATGTGGTACAAAAAGGAGACCGTCATCTGAAAACAATGAGCCCTGTGAAAAGAAGACCAGGGCGCTACAAAGCACACTGGACGACGTCTGCACCCCGCTGAAGACGCTGGATAAAAGTGCGTTGACTGTAAACAAACCCTCAGGCACTTAAATCCAGTGTAGCTTTTATTTTATTTTCACTATCAAATATAAAAGCTTTGTTAGTAGATGCTGTAGGAAGTTTTTCTTCCTAAAAGCAAATGTGCCTTTGAAGAGCCATTCCAGGCACAGAGCCTTTCTGTGGCTCTGAAGCTGCTGCTTGGACCTTGCTCTGGATTTGCTCTGCAAATCCCCTTTAGCTGAATCAGCTTTAACAGGCTGAAAACAGCCAGTGAAAATAAAGTTGATTACATTACGCACACACAGTATGCTTTACTGTTAACAATTCTTCTGCGTAATTTTTGAGTGGGATTGTATTTTTGATGTAATGATAGATGATTGGAACAATCTTGAAGGGAGACCGTGAYTAGAAACAATGTCTGCTTAAAAACTATTCTGAAGAAAATACTGTCTATCTCACAATATCCTCACTGATTTTGTGGCTTTGTATTTATCAGTGTGGAAAACAACTGTATTTCTTTKTGGTATGTGAGGAAGCATACAGTTAAGAAACACTGGCTTTCTGGGGAGATAACCAARCAGATCACATACATGATTCTGTCACACTGGTAGAATGAGTGCAATGGGAAAGAAGGAAGGTAGGGAAGAAAGAGACTTGGCAAAATGCCCAAGTTCCTTTTTAATTGAAAATAACTTGCTGATATGTTTTTGTTGTTTATTTTTTTACCAAAGAAGAACCTCAGAAGTGTGAAAAGCCCCGCATATGTTTGCAAACTCTAGACAGACTGAGAGAGTTCTCCAGCCATTCAGACCAGCCCTGTAACAGAGTCCGAGAGGACAGTTTTCAGGAGAAACAATCTCTGATTTTGGAAAAGTGCCCCAGTATTATGGGGAGAAGTACAGAAGTGAAGAGCCCTCTTCAGTGTTTGGACACTAGCCCAAAGGCTGCTCAGAAGGTACGTAGAGCTTCTGGTGCAGTGTAGCTGGGTAGATGGGTTTTTCAAACTGTAAAAGGTAAATTTTGGTACARGGTTCCTTTCATGTTGTCATGTATCCTGTGTTCTGTCATGAAATAGTGCAGCTCTACACCATAGACCAGTATTCATATACGAGTGTTTTCTGGGACTCTGAGCATAGCAAACGGAACAGTGCTCGATTGTGCAGTGCAGTGTTTGCTTGAGTAGTGGTTAGAGGACAAAAACATTGACAGTGTGTTCCAGGATCATGAATCAATCACTTTAATACCAATTTTTCACCTTCTTTATCTTCTTTGTTTTGATAAGGGCCCAAAATTTCAAATCATACTTTTGAAAACAAGAACTTTTAGAAATGTATTGTGGAAATGGAGCACAGTCCAGACACAGATGAAGCTAGTCTCTGTAGCTGCTAACTCTGTGTCTGATTCTGTTTTCATCTGCAGAAAATACAGGTGGCTCTCGTGAAAAAATGATTGTAATGATACTTGTGACATAAATCAATAAAGATTTTCATAGTGCCTTGCTTCCCCTTTAATTATAGTGCCTTACCTCCCCTTTAATTATAGGGGAGTTGAATTCCATCTCGTTCAGGGCAGCTTTTGTAAGTGTCTGGTGCACTGGTGTCGTTTTGGGGTCACCTTGCACGATTTGAGGTGTTCAAGTCCTCAAGGGCGTTTCACGGGTACCCCCTTGTTTTTGCTTTGGCTTCAACTCTTGAAAAACTTGTCCTTCTTGAATTTCTTATTTTTCTGACCCTTTTGTGTATCCAGTTACGTGAACTCCAGACACTGCTTTTGTTTAACCAATAAATAACCCACCTCACAGAACCGTGAGAGTAAAATGTAGATGCTGGAACTCCGAAGCGTATGTATTCTCCACGTGYACATCCATAAAATAAGCACCTTTAACCATAAAATAAGGAAGGAAGAGGATATTCTGCCGTGGCTTCTTTCTCCTCGATGCTGTTGGAGCAGCCTGGCTGCGCCTGGCAGSGAGCAGTGCCTGTTTGGGGAGCACAGGCAGGTGGAACTGCTGCCACCAGCCTGTGGATCCTGGATGGAGCATGTTCCACGGAGCTCGGTGCCTGTCGGCTCGGTGCCTCGGCTGTAGCCAAACAATGCTGAACAACAGTCTGACCCATSACCCGTTATCCGTGGGATAATCCAGGGGGCTCGTTGGTGGCCCTGCAGCTAATACCCCAATAATTCACTGCCCTTAGCATGTGCAGAGAGGCTCTGCAAGCAGGATGCATGCCAAGTAAATGTAAACAGCAGTATTGTATTGCTTAATACACTCAGTAGGTAGCAAGGATTCGTGACCTAGTTGGCAAGGTATCGGTATGTCCACCTTTTCGTTGAGACACCTGTGGAGTCTATGCTAGTGAGGAGCAARGTGAGGAAGCCTGCTCTGCTTGGAATGGCCTGTCTGAGGTGTCTCTGTCTGCTGATCCATTCCTTTTTGCTTTTTTCCCGTAGTGTTTCTAACCTTTTTTTATGTTAGTGTTTTTCCTCCAAATTCCCTGAGCTGTCACTTACTACCAACCCAGMAATTAAACTTCCATCAGTGTTTTTACTTTCTTTGCTTCATGGCCTTGCTTCACGTGACTCCTCACTTATAGCTGGCAGTTTTGCCCGTGAAGCTGAGCCGAGCTCCTGGGCTGGCCCACGCTGAAGCTGCGCTCCAGGACACATGAGGAATCCCCAGCTGGAATGGGGGCCATCCCAAGCTTGAATGCCAAGCTCTGGGGATCACCYGAGCTCTGGGTATGGCACAGCACTGTTATCTCTGCTGACATCTCTGCACTTCCTAGATAGCAGTACAGCTAAATGCTTTTTTTTTTTTTTTCCCCTTGTCATTTTTTTTTTCTCACCACATTCTTACTACATCTCCACGACCTTGTGACTGTGGTTTGTACTGTCCATGTGTCTTTTTGGAATTATCCTACATGTCCAGTTGCCATTGTTCTGTGTAATCTAGATGTATWGGTTAGAAATTGGAGCTCACCAGGTTTATTTGCAGATGTAGAAACAGCACAAGACAGTTAGGTTCTGTACAGCAGTACGCTGCAGGCTTCAAATTGTGTGTGGTGGGATTACATTTTTTCTTTTTTGAACCATTTTATCAATATATTGTGATGTAAGCAACGAGTTTTGAGGTGAGGCTCTGTGTTCACTGCAGTTGTAGAAGGCTGAATGGAGGGTCAGCGATCACCATCGCTGCAGGTAAAAGCAGGAGAGCTGGAATTGCTTCACTGGCATAGGCTGCATCATGTCATTGTGAATGATGAACAGCAGGGAGAATAGCATCAAGCCCTTAACTGCTAGGGAGCCTGGAAACATAATACAGGCTTTCTGTGTTTAAGAGAATTATTTTGAAATGTTTGCTGGGCTTTATGTAGGAAGGGCAGACTGGGAAAGAAAAATGTTTTATGCTTAGCACAGTGAACTGAGACTCGCACTGATTTAGTTTTTGATTTACTGTGTGTTTTTTCTTTT